TGGTGTTCCTTCTCAAATTTTAACCCAGAATTCTTGAGTTAAGTATTAATGAATAGCCCAAAGCAACTTTGGTATTGTCTTTATAGCGGAGCTGGAATGGCCGCTAACAAATATGAGAAAGTATTAGATGGAAAATGCTCCCTTACGAAGACATTTGAACTATCAAGTCATATGCTGGGTTGGAAAGTAAATAATGTACCAAGCAATTATATTTCTGCGCTAAATTGTCCGTAAAACCGTCAAAGATAACTTCTCTTCTGCGAGGCCAACCAACTGACGCAAGTTTCCGAACAGACGTGTGGATCTTTTAGATGGTTAAGATGATATAAAATCATTGTACCGGAGACCTAGATGAAACGGATGATATTCAGAATAACATGGACGAGACCTCTCGGCAGAAAGGTGCTTGTGAAATATGAGATCGGAGCAGGTTCTGTTTCCTCGGGCGTCCGCATGCAGTGCAAAGCTATTTCTTGTCTCGCAGCTTCCTCTGAACTTCTGACAAGAAAGGTATCCTAAACTGNTTTTTTTTTTTTTTTCATTTCTCAGTGAGTTCAGCTTAATCTGTATAGACTGTAAAGGAAAACTGTGCATATTGTTAGATGGAAAGAACTAAAAAATACAGAATCTGGTTCTAAGCAGCAAGTGAATTAAAGAAGAAAGAAAATATGAACAGGAACACTTCCTATGCTAAGCCATTGGCAATAAGAGTTAACTTATCCAGGAGAAACTTGTGAAGCCAAAATGACTTATTGCCAAAACAAAGAGTTCAGAAAGGAAGGTTATGACAAAGCTGGAAAGATCAATATCAGGTGATCTGTTACTATAACCAAACCCCTTGTTTTCTAATAGTATCTGTCTTGAGAAACTGTGATACCTTTACTGCCTCTAAGTTTGAAATATAATCAGTTATTTTCTTTATACTTTATGCTTTCAATTTTCACCATAAATTTTATGTTTACATTAAGTTTAAACTGACTTACAAAGAAATATTCTAGAGAAGAGTGTCACAGAGGTTGTACCTGTAGACATGAACTCCAAGCCTGATTTCTCCCCAGCTACCTCCGTCCCAGGTTCCCTGTTGCTTTTTGCATTGATGAGTTTATCTTTGGCCTCAAGAAAATGCATCATGCAAGTGATAAGCGAACATTTTCAGCAAACACGAAAAGAAACACAAGATTGGGTTTTAAATGTTTAATTGACGGTGCGTTGACAATAAATAGATAGCTTTCCATGGTGGTTGCATGTATTGCCAGAAACAGGGCCTGCTTGAATGGTCTTGCTGCGGTAGTGAAAGATGGTAACCTAAGGTTTAAAAGGATCAAATAAGACTCCTCTTAATATTCACCAGTTAAAAATTGGAGTAAATGTTTATATGACCTCCCTTCCCTCTTTAGATTATATATCGCCCGTAACTCATCAGAAAATGAGAGAGCTAGCACCAGAAACTCAATATGTATTTACCATTAAAAGAAGTAATTCTCACAAGTAAACGATCCAACCCCATCCACCTTTTTAGTCCCGTCCAAGCAGATACAACGTGGTAATGTACACGGAGCTAATATCATAATTTATAAAACATTAAATAGCTCATTTCCAGTATCAATGTATTGAATTGAGGTCTTCCGATTTTCACGTAAAGAAATTTTTTCTGTACTCTCACCTGCACAAAGGAAAAGTAAAATTTCTGACGCGTATCAAACAAACCACAAGAAACACTCCACATAAAGCATTTTTGGATCCTTACATAAAGAAAATTTACAATATTGTTTAGGAATTTAAATTAATCAAACTTCAAATTCCTAAATTGTTGATTAACTGTGCCAATTTTGTAAACATAATAAGATCCAGCAACAGGAACTCAAGTTGACCAGAGTTTGGAACTCAAATTTTGTTACATAAGCATACGTGACTGCAGCCGACAGTGAGGCCCCTTATTTGGTCTTCGGTAACCAAGAAAGCCCTCGCCCCCGTGACCCTAGACGAGCTAAATTTTACCGTTTTGTTGAGAAAGTGAAACACAAGTCACCCTTAACAACATAACAAGGGTAACTCTGGTAGGCCAGATAACCTTTTTTTGTCAAAATACTACGACTGGCCTACCTGGGGCAACTCATGGTATGAAGAAATCAAAATTAACCCACAAAACCCCACAATGATCAAATGACGAAAGGAAGGCAAAGGAAGAACGATAACTGAGCCCTAGAATATGAAGAAAGGCTTAAGAAATCCTGGAGGGACAACTTCATTACATATAAACACTTGGTAAAGTTGCCTCAGATGCGTCTGAAAGGGTTGTCTCCAGTACCCAAGACCATATAAATGAGGCCTTGTACTGTCTCCTCCGCAGAGGCTCCTTATGGGAAATTAAATATACTCCGACCTACCAGCCTACGGTCAAAGTAGCACGAAAGAGGGCTATGCAGAGGAGAGAGAGCCTTGTATGTCAATATGTTTAAAGAAACATCTTGCAAGACTACACCGCAAACCATGGGTTAAATGTAGACAGCAGGCTTTTTAAGAATATCATATTCCCATTTTCATTTATAGAGAGATCGAGCTAGTCATACACCGGCTAACCTGAGCCGTATATTTCAGGCTACCTGGAGCACTTAGCTCTCTATAAAGGAAATGGGAATACAATATCCTTAAAAAGTCTGCAGTCTGCATTTTATCCTCTGTCTGCATTTTAACCACCGTTGTGCAGTATGCAGGTTTAAAGTCTTATTTAAATAATTAGGTTTAAGTTCTTGTTTGTGAAAGTTCTCATTTCCATCACTGTGGATAATATTTCTGTTTTCTAGGCCTGTTACAGAATATGTGAAAAAGTTTTAGTTTTGTGAAAGAACACTCCCCCGAGCACGAGATCGCAAATATTTCATACTCAAATGGACTGATCATTTTTACTGCTGATTCTTCAAAATCCTCTTCAAAATGAAAATGTTTTCCTATACATATAAGCTATTCTGTGACCATGTTACGCGTTTCTTTAGGTTACCGATCACGTAAAAAAGGCAATTTTACAGGGCGAATAGTCAAAATTTTGCCCCACATATTTCCACCGGAGAGTGATGACTGTAACACTTTAAATACACTTTATGCAAGATTTTTCGGTTGTAATTAAAATCTACTTACCTCTCAAGGAAAAAAAAATGATAATTACTCCTCGAGATCTAAATACAATACCATTTGAAGCTGGAATGGTTGGAGAAATCCGCCTCAAAACGTTGTATCAGCTAGAGGCGACGACACCTTTATCGAAAATTTTGTGCATTTGCGCGCTTCTTTTGCCGTGACGTCATAATGGCCATGATCATCGGGTCAGCCAAATCTGACGTGTTCACCTCTCCCTCCTGGTTATGGTCAATTGACACCCTCAAAACATGGTATCCGCTGACCAGTATCACGTGATCAAATCGCAGGCTCAGGTTTAGAGTTTATTGAGTTCACGTGTTTTCTTTAATTTGCCCGCTGCTGAGGTACTGGTTTTCGACTGGATCGCAGGCTCAAGCAATGTTACCTTATTGCAATCAGGAGCTTCGCTTTTGGGCTTGGTTAGATCTATACTATTTGTTAGCAACGGAGAAAGAGAGTATTATCCTGTTGTTTCGGTAGGACAGCTCTGTTTTGACTGCCGCTCGCACTGCGGATGCCGTCACCGTATGCAAGATTATGGTGACAGCTGTCAAAACAGGGTATCCGCTGACCAGTATTACGTGCCCATATCGCGGGCTTAGGTTGAAAGCTCATCGAGGTCGCGTGTTGTTTTAATGTTGACCGCTGCTCATGTACTGATTTTCGATTGGATCGCAGGCTCAAGCCAGGCTATCACTCAGGGAAGAAGGAGGGAGTACGTGCAAAGGCAAAACTTGGGCGCAAATTAAACCCCGGCGCGTTATTAACTTTTCTTCCGACATATTCCCTGTACAATCGTCTCTTAGAAAGTCCCTGATATATTGGGTACGTAATTTTTACAATCTTGGAGAAATTGGGTACGCTTATTGGGTATAGTTTTTTTTTTTTAATTAACTGGACAACTGATAGTGAAACCACACGCTGAGCAATTACATGCTAACATTTGATCTTTTTTGAGTTTCTGATCCAAGAAGAGCAACTCCTCTTTTTCCTTTATGAGTAATTATTGCAATCAGGAGCTCTGCTTTTAGGGTTGGCTAAATCTGTATATTACCTCTGCCACTTTGAAGAGGAATTACTTGATCGCGCCAAAATCGTAACCTATTGAATCCCATACTATACAACAGTAACTGAAATAAGGTTCAATAACTGGCCTTTATAAAACAACAAATGCCCCACTTTCTAGAAAAGGTTTAACCTTTTTCAGAATTCTTAAATTTGAGGCCACTTAATGCCTTATGCTTTGCAAGTGGCCATTCCACGTCAGGTTCTTATCAATACTAACACCTAAGCATTTGGTGGACTTCACTTGCTTTACATCCGTATTGGACAGTGAAAGTTCTATTTTACCGTCAAGAGCGGCAATTCTCAGTCTAGACCTGATTAACATGAAATCTGTCTTTGACAGATTAAGAGTAAGTTTGTTCACATAAAGCCAGATGGCAGTTTCTGTAAGATCCTTACTCATTTTTTCTTGCAAAATTGGCAGACTACAACTTGAGAATGTGAGGCTCGTGTAGTCAGCAAACAATCTCGCCATTTCGTAATCTAAGCATTTGGGCATATCATTAACGTAATGACTGACTGACTGATTGACTGATTGTGTGACCGACTGACTGATTGACTGAATGTAATGATTGTCTGATTGAATGACTGACTGATTGACGGACGGACGGACGGAAGGACTGTTTGACTGACTGACTGTCTGACTGATTGACAGATAGACAGATTGATTGGTTGGCTGGCTTGCTGGCTGGCTGGCTGGCTGGCTGGCTGGCTGGCTGGCTGGCCGGCTGGCTGGTTGATTGGCTGGCTGGTTGGTTGGTTGGTTGGTTGATTGATTAATTGACTGATTGATGGACTGATCTCTCTCATTCTCTTCTAGGGATTTCTTTTTAAAGAGAATCCACAGAGTTTCCCAAAAATCAGATCCAGTTTACGGTGATCGTTTCTTAGTCGACGTGGAACTTGGTTTACAGCATAGCAACCAATCATTTCGCTTGTCAGAACACGTCTATCAGAAGAAGGGAAGTGACAAGTTGTGTTTTCCTGAAGGAATCAACTGGAACAGCCAAGCCATGGTGTACTTCATACTTCCTGTCAAAGACCAAGGACGATGGGTCTATCATTTTATCAATGAACTTACTGTTGCCAGCTTATTGACCGGTGATACGAACTTCCACGTCGTTGTTGCTGACTTTGAAAGTCAGGATATTGATATGGCCGAAGCTTTTAACACTTCTCTGTTCCGCAGCAGACACACCATTGTTGACATGACGGGTGAATTCTATAAGACACTCGCGCTAAACGAGGCTGTCGCTCGTGTTCCAAGCGAGCATGATATACTATTTCTGTATGATCTTCACATTGATGTTCCTGTAGACATCATGGACAGCGTCAGAAAGGTAACGTAAAAGTGCAAATGCAATCACGTTAGAAGTAGTCTCTGTAAGAGTCCTAAGTGAACGATAGTTCGAATGCGTCACCTAGGGGTGCAAGAAATTACAGCTCACCGGAGAAAGAGAAAACGATGAGGGAAGGAAAGTGGCAGTTGCCTCAATAGCGTCATGTTTTTCTCCAACATCTCCTGTTCATGTCACGCTTTCTCAAGCTTGGTGCAGTGTTCGACGATCTAGTCAGATTGGGACTCGAACTGGGACTATAGCCCAGACTCAAGCTGGTATTCGAACAGGGACTCAACCCAGGACTCGAACTGGGACTCAAACTGGGACCAGAGCTTAGACTAAAGCTGGGTCTCGAGCTGTGAATCGAACTTAGCCTTGAGCTGGGACTAGTGCNTTTTTTTTTTTTTTTCATTTCTCAGTGAGTTCAGCTTAATCTGTATAGACTGTAAAGGAAAACTGTGCATATTGTTAGATGGAAAGAACTAAAAAATACAGAATCTGGTTCTAAGCAGCAAGTGAATTAAAGAAGAAAGAAAATATGAACAGGAACACTTCCTATGCTAAGCCATTGGCAATAAGAGTTAACTTATCCAGGAGAAACTTGTGAAGCCAAAATGACTTATTGCCAAAACAAAGAGTTCAGAAAGGAAGGTTATGACAAAGCTGGAAAGATCAATATCAGGTGATCTGTTACTATAACCAAACCCCTTGTTTTCTAATAGTATCTGTCTTGAGAAACTGTGATACCTTTACTGCCTCTAAGTTTGAAATATAATCAGTTATTTTCTTTATACTTTATGCTTTCAATTTTCACCATAAATTTTATGTTTACATTAAGTTTAAACTGACTTACAAAGAAATATTCTAGAGAAGAGTGTCACAGAGGTTGTACCTGTAGACATGAACTCCAAGCCTGATTTCTCCCCAGCTACCTCCGTCCCAGGTTCCCTGTTGCTTTTTGCATTGATGAGTTTATCTTTGGCCTCAAGAAAATGCATCATGCAAGTGATAAGCGAACATTTTCAGCAAACACGAAAAGAAACACAAGATTGGGTTTTAAATGTTTAATTGACGGTGCGTTGACAATAAATAGATAGCTTTCCATGGTGGTTGCATGTATTGCCAGAAACAGGGCCTGCTTGAATGGTCTTGCTGCGGTAGTGAAAGATGGTAACCTAAGGTTTAAAAGGATCAAATAAGACTCCTCTTAATATTCACCAGTTAAAAATTGGAGTAAATGTTTATATGACCTCCCTTCCCTCTTTAGATTATATATCGCCCGTAACTCATCAGAAAATGAGAGAGCTAGCACCAGAAACTCAATATGTATTTACCATTAAAAGAAGTAATTCTCACAAGTAAACGATCCAACCCCATCCACCTTTTTAGTCCCGTCCAAGCAGATACAACGTGGTAATGTACACGGAGCTAATATCATAATTTATAAAACATTAAATAGCTCATTTCCAGTATCAATGTATTGAATTGAGGTCTTCCGATTTTCACGTAAAGAAATTTTTTCTGTACTCTCACCTGCACAAAGGAAAAGTAAAATTTCTGACGCGTATCAAACAAACCACAAGAAACACTCCACATAAAGCATTTTTGGATCCTTACATAAAGAAAATTTACAATATTGTTTAGGAATTTAAATTAATCAAACTTCAAATTCCTAAATTGTTGATTAACTGTGCCAATTTTGTAAACATAATAAGATCCAGCAACAGGAACTCAAGTTGACCAGAGTTTGGAACTCAAATTTTGTTACATAAGCATACGTGACTGCAGCCGACAGTGAGGCCCCTTATTTGGTCTTCGGTAACCAAGAAAGCCCTCGCCCCCGTGACCCTAGACGAGCTAAATTTTACCGTTTTGTTGAGAAAGTGAAACACAAGTCACCCTTAACAACATAACAAGGGTAACTCTGGTAGGCCAGATAACCTTTTTTTGTCAAAATACTACGACTGGCCTACCTGGGGCAACTCATGGTATGAAGAAATCAAAATTAACCCACAAAACCCCACAATGATCAAATGACGAAAGGAAGGCAAAGGAAGAACGATAACTGAGCCCTAGAATATGAAGAAAGGCTTAAGAAATCCTGGAGGGACAACTTCATTACATATAAACACTTGGTAAAGTTGCCTCAGATGCGTCTGAAAGGGTTGTCTCCAGTACCCAAGACCATATAAATGAGGCCTTGTACTGTCTCCTCCGCAGAGGCTCCTTATGGGAAATTAAATATACTCCGACCTACCAGCCTACGGTCAAAGTAGCACGAAAGAGGGCTATGCAGAGGAGAGAGAGCCTTGTATGTCAATATGTTTAAAGAAACATCTTGCAAGACTACACCGCAAACCATGGGTTAAATGTAGACAGCAGGCTTTTTAAGAATATCATATTCCCATTTTCATTTATAGAGAGATCGAGCTAGTCATACACCGGCTAACCTGAGCCGTATATTTCAGGCTACCTGGAGCACTTAGCTCTCTATAAAGGAAATGGGAATACAATATCCTTAAAAAGTCTGCAGTCTGCATTTTATCCTCTGTCTGCATTTTAACCACCGTTGTGCAGTATGCAGGTTTAAAGTCTTATTTAAATAATTAGGTTTAAGTTCTTGTTTGTGAAAGTTCTCATTTCCATCACTGTGGATAATATTTCTGTTTTCTAGGCCTGTTACAGAATATGTGAAAAAGTTTTAGTTTTGTGAAAGAACACTCCCCCGAGCACGAGATCGCAAATATTTCATACTCAAATGGACTGATCATTTTTACTGCTGATTCTTCAAAATCCTCTTCAAAATGAAAATGTTTTCCTATACATATAAGCTATTCTGTGACCATGTTACGCGTTTCTTTAGGTTACCGATCACGTAAAAAAGGCAATTTTACAGGGCGAATAGTCAAAATTTTGCCCCACATATTTCCACCGGAGAGTGATGACTGTAACACTTTAAATACACTTTATGCAAGATTTTTCGGTTGTAATTAAAATCTACTTACCTCTCAAGGAAAAAAAAATGATAATTACTCCTCGAGATCTAAATACAATACCATTTGAAGCTGGAATGGTTGGAGAAATCCGCCTCAAAACGTTGTATCAGCTAGAGGCGACGACACCTTTATCGAAAATTTTGTGCATTTGCGCGCTTCTTTTGCCGTGACGTCATAATGGCCATGATCATCGGGTCAGCCAAATCTGACGTGTTCACCTCTCCCTCCTGGTTATGGTCAATTGACACCCTCAAAACATGGTATCCGCTGACCAGTATCACGTGATCAAATCGCAGGCTCAGGTTTAGAGTTTATTGAGTTCACGTGTTTTCTTTAATTTGCCCGCTGCTGAGGTACTGGTTTTCGACTGGATCGCAGGCTCAAGCAATGTTACCTTATTGCAATCAGGAGCTTCGCTTTTGGGCTTGGTTAGATCTATACTATTTGTTAGCAACGGAGAAAGAGAGTATTATCCTGTTGTTTCGGTAGGACAGCTCTGTTTTGACTGCCGCTCGCACTGCGGATGCCGTCACCGTATGCAAGATTATGGTGACAGCTGTCAAAACAGGGTATCCGCTGACCAGTATTACGTGCCCATATCGCGGGCTTAGGTTGAAAGCTCATCGAGGTCGCGTGTTGTTTTAATGTTGACCGCTGCTCATGTACTGATTTTCGATTGGATCGCAGGCTCAAGCCAGGCTATCACTCAGGGAAGAAGGAGGGAGTACGTGCAAAGGCAAAACTTGGGCGCAAATTAAACCCCGGCGCGTTATTAACTTTTCTTCCGACATATTCCCTGTACAATCGTCTCTTAGAAAGTCCCTGATATATTGGGTACGTAATTTTTACAATCTTGGAGAAATTGGGTACGCTTATTGGGTATAGTTTTTTTTTTTTAATTAACTGGACAACTGATAGTGAAACCACACGCTGAGCAATTACATGCTAACATTTGATCTTTTTTGAGTTTCTGATCCAAGAAGAGCAACTCCTCTTTTTCCTTTATGAGTAATTATTGCAATCAGGAGCTCTGCTTTTAGGGTTGGCTAAATCTGTATATTACCTCTGCCACTTTGAAGAGGAATTACTTGATCGCGCCAAAATCGTAACCTATTGAATCCCATACTATACAACAGTAACTGAAATAAGGTTCAATAACTGGCCTTTATAAAACAACAAATGCCCCACTTTCTAGAAAAGGTTTAACCTTTTTCAGAATTCTTAAATTTGAGGCCACTTAATGCCTTATGCTTTGCAAGTGGCCATTCCACGTCAGGTTCTTATCAATACTAACACCTAAGCATTTGGTGGACTTCACTTGCTTTACATCCGTATTGGACAGTGAAAGTTCTATTTTACCGTCAAGAGCGGCAATTCTCAGTCTAGACCTGATTAACATGAAATCTGTCTTTGACAGATTAAGAGTAAGTTTGTTCACATAAAGCCAGATGGCAGTTTCTGTAAGATCCTTACTCATTTTTTCTTGCAAAATTGGCAGACTACAACTTGAGAATGTGAGGCTCGTGTAGTCAGCAAACAATCTCGCCATTTCGTAATCTAAGCATTTGGGCATATCATTAACGTAATGACTGACTGACTGATTGACTGATTGTGTGACCGACTGACTGATTGACTGAATGTAATGATTGTCTGATTGAATGACTGACTGATTGACGGACGGACGGACGGAAGGACTGTTTGACTGACTGACTGTCTGACTGATTGACAGATAGACAGATTGATTGGTTGGCTGGCTTGCTGGCTGGCTGGCTGGCTGGCTGGCTGGCTGGCTGGCTGGCTGGCCGGCTGGCTGGTTGATTGGCTGGCTGGTTGGTTGGTTGGTTGGTTGATTGATTAATTGACTGATTGATGGACTGATCTCTCTCATTCTCTTCTAGGGATTTCTTTTTAAAGAGAATCCACAGAGTTTCCCAAAAATCAGATCCAGTTTACGGTGATCGTTTCTTAGTCGACGTGGAACTTGGTTTACAGCATAGCAACCAATCATTTCGCTTGTCAGAACACGTCTATCAGAAGAAGGGAAGTGACAAGTTGTGTTTTCCTGAAGGAATCAACTGGAACAGCCAAGCCATGGTGTACTTCATACTTCCTGTCAAAGACCAAGGACGATGGGTCTATCATTTTATCAATGAACTTACTGTTGCCAGCTTATTGACCGGTGATACGAACTTCCACGTCGTTGTTGCTGACTTTGAAAGTCAGGATATTGATATGGCCGAAGCTTTTAACACTTCTCTGTTCCGCAGCAGACACACCATTGTTGACATGACGGGTGAATTCTATAAGACACTCGCGCTAAACGAGGCTGTCGCTCGTGTTCCAAGCGAGCATGATATACTATTTCTGTATGATCTTCACATTGATGTTCCTGTAGACATCATGGACAGCGTCAGAAAGGTAACGTAAAAGTGCAAATGCAATCACGTTAGAAGTAGTCTCTGTAAGAGTCCTAAGTGAACGATAGTTCGAATGCGTCACCTAGGGGTGCAAGAAATTACAGCTCACCGGAGAAAGAGAAAACGATGAGGGAAGGAAAGTGGCAGTTGCCTCAATAGCGTCATGTTTTTCTCCAACATCTCCTGTTCATGTCACGCTTTCTCAAGCTTGGTGCAGTGTTCGACGATCTAGTCAGATTGGGACTCGAACTGGGACTATAGCCCAGACTCAAGCTGGTATTCGAACAGGGACTCAACCCAGGACTCGAACTGGGACTCAAACTGGGACCAGAGCTTAGACTAAAGCTGGGTCTCGAGCTGTGAATCGAACTTAGCCTTGAGCTGGGACTAGTGCTGGGACTCGAGCTGGGACTAGACCTAGATCTCGAGCTTCTCGAGCTGGGACTCGAACCTGGACTCTAGTTGGGACTCTAACTGAGACTCGAATTGGCACTTCAACTGGGACTCAAACTGGGACCAGTGCTTAGACTAGAGCTGGGACTTGAGCTGGGAATCAAGCTGGGACTAGAGCTGAGTCTCGAGCTGGGTCTCAACCTGGGTCTCGAGCTGGGACTCAGACTGAGACTCAAACTGGGAATTGAGCTGGGACTAGAGCTGAGACAAACTGGGACTCAAGCTGAAATTCCAACTGGGACTCGAACTGAAACTCGAGCTGGGAGACTAGAGCGGAGACTATGACTGGGATTCGAACTGGGATTCGACCTGGACTTCAACTTGGACTCAAGCTGGGATTTGAGCTGGGACTTGCATTGGGACAAAAACTGGGACCAGAGCTTATACTAGACCTCGGTCTCGAGCTAGCACTCGAAAGGGAACTACAGTTGGGACTTGAACTGGGACTCAAACTGGGACTCGAGCTGGGTCTCGAGTTGGGACTCGAACTGGGACTCGTACTGGGACTTGTACTGTGACTCGAACTGGGATTTGTACTTGGGCTCAAGTTGGGAGACTAGAGCGGGGACTACAACTGGGACTCAAACTGGGCTTCGAACTGGGACTTGAACTTGGACTTGAGCTGGGATTTGATCTGGGACTTGCATTGGGACACAGACTGAGCCCAGAGCTTATACTAGACCTCGGTCTCGAGCTGGGACTTGAAAGGGGACTAGAGTTGGGACTCGAACTGGGACTCAAACTGGGACTCGACCTGGGACTCGAGTTAGGACTCGAACTGGGACTTGTACTGGGAATCAGGCTGGGAGACTAGAGCGGGGACTACAACTGGGACTCGAACTGGGCTTTGAACTGGGACTATAGCTTGGACTCAAACTGGGATTTGAGCACTGGGACACAAACTGGGACCAGAGTTTATACTAGACCTCGGTCTCGAGCTGGGACTTAAAAGGGGACTATAGTTGAGACTAAAACTGGGGCTCGAACTAGGACTCATACTAGGACTCAAACTGAGACACGTACTTGGACTCAAGCTCGAACTGGAGCTGGGACTCGAATTAGGGCTGAAACCTGAGCTTATACTATAGCTGGGGCTGGAGCTGGGGCTCGAGCTATGAGTCGAACTGGGATTAGAGCTGGCACTCAAGCTGGGACTCAAAGTGACCAGAGCTTATACTAGAGTTGGGTCTCGGGCTAAAACTCGAACTGGGACTTGAGTTGGGACTTGAGCCGGGGCTCGAACTGGGTCTTCAACTGGGACTCGGCTGGGACTCGAGCTGGTACTACAGCTAGGACTAGAGCTGGGAGACTAGGACCATACCTTATACTAGAGTTTGGTCTCGACCTAGGACTTGAGCTAGCACTCGAACGGGGACTAGAGTTGGGACTCAAACTGGGACTCAAGCTGGGACTAGAACTGGTACTCGAACTGGGACGAGCTGGGATTCGAGATGGGACTAGAGCTAGGACTCGCATTACGACTCAAACTTGGACCAGAACGTATACTAGAGCTGGGTCTCGAGCTGGGACTCGAGCGGGGACTAGAGTTGGAACTCCAACTGGGACTCAAACTGGAACTAAAACTGGGACCAGAAGCTTATACTAGAGCTGGGTCTCGGGCTAGGACTCCAACTGGGACTCCAGCTGGGACTCGAACTGGAATTAGAGCTGAGACTTAGACTGGAATTAGAGCTGGGACTCAAACAGGAACTAGAGCTGGGACCAGAGGTGGGACTTGGACTGGGACTCAAACTGGGACTTGAGCTGGGACTAGAACTGGAACTCGAACTGAGACTAGAGCTGGTACCAAAGCTGGGACTCAAGCTGGGACTCGAACTGGGATCAGAGCTGGGACATGAACTGGAACTAGAGTGGCAATTTGAACTGGGACTCGAACTGGGTCTCGAGCTTGGTCTCGACCTAGGGCTCGAGCTGGGTCTTGAACTGGGTCTCGTACTGGGTCTCGAACTGGCACTCGAACTGGGCCTCGAACTGGGTCTCGAGCTGGGTCTTGAACTGGGTTTCGAACTGGGTCTCGAGCTGGGTCTCGAACTGGGTCTCGAACTGACACGACTTGGGTCTTGAGCTGAAACTTGACTAGGTTTCGAACTGGGACTTGAGCTGGGTTTCGAACTGGGACACGAACTGGGACTAGAGCTGGGACTCGAGCTGAGACTACAGCTGGGACTTGAGTTTGGACTCCAACTGGGACTAAACCGGGAATTCATCGTGGAACAAGAGCTGGGACCTAAGCTGGGACCTAAGCTGG